CTCGCACTGGAATCGAAACAACAAAATATCAAATGCCGGAATGGCCACTATTTAGTGATGCCAACAGTTAAAAACACAAGCTTAATGCGGTCGAATAAATAAAAATTTGGTGTCGTTTTATCGCGTCCACAGAAAAGACTCCATTTCATGTAACCATAAGTTTATTGGATTTATTGTATACAGATAGTAACGATATATTTGTTTTATTCTCAATATTATCATCTTTATTATATTGTTTGTGTTACAAATAAATAATTTTAATACATAGGGTACTTTAACTATTTTTAAACATGGCTCAAACATTATACCTTTGTCTTGTAACAGTCCACAGGAAGAGATTTTTTGAAGCTTAACGCCATCAAAATGAATTTATGAAATGTAATATTTTACAAGATACGATTAAAATGAGTAGTAATATAGTACCTTTACGATTTAAATGCTTTCAAATATTCTTAAATTTCCTCTTTTAGATGATACATTGCTATAACACTTTTTTTACCCTTTTTGTGTATGACCCATATAGAGAAGAAGTGCACAATGCTAATATTTTTTTTAAATAATGCATAAAAGATACATTGAATCAAAAAAGAAAACATTACACACACTACATATCATGTATTTGACGCACACACGCATGCATACTATTTATTGTCAAACTTTTGTTCTTGACGTCTGTGGTCAAATTGAGAAGAGATTAAATATTGTTTGTCTTTATTAATATTTTTTATAGTGTAGCCTTGGCGAAATTTGTGATTATAGAAGTATAAAATACAATCATAATAGTGTACAAACTTACAATTCTAATTAATTATAATCGAATTTCGACTACTGCGGGACCACTAGTAAGTATAATTCACCGACTGTGTCGCCCGTGAACACGTAAAATTCTGTAAAATTCTGTAAAGTATACGAAAGTAAAGTGTAAAGAATGTAACATAAAGTATTCGAAACGTTTAGTTATAATATAATGTCATTTAAAAGAAAACGCAATATTAAATCGCAAAAGTAGTTTTAATTAAAATATGCTCATGGTTTTTGAAAGGAATTTGATTTTCGAATCCATCTGATAGATCTCTCGTCGTACCGTTAGCGATGCATAAAAACTTATCTAGTTCGTATAACTTATTTAATCCAACATTAATGGCGTAGTCGAGGTTAGAACTGGAACGGAAGGTGCTCTCAGAAAATAATTTCATATCCGCAGAGCGAGCGGTGCACCTAACGATATCATGTTACTTTATATCGGGCTTTACTACGGGCTATTCAGGAAACGACCACGAAAAGTGGATTTTCAATTTTCGCTTAAGTTAGATTTCATTGAAATTTGTTTACGTTATATTGTTGTATTTTAGAAAATTGCTTTTGTTGATATGGTTTTGTGAAGTGCTTGTGGAATCGTAAGAGAGCGCTATTTTAGACTTGACGTTTATTTATAAACTGTAGTTAAGAAGAAAGGTGTTTAAATTGGAATGCTTGACTGCTTTGCGGCAAAAACGAACCACCGCCCTGCCTATTTCTGCCGTGAAGCAGTAATGCCTTTCAGTTTGAAGGGTGAGGCATCTGTTTTAGTGTAAAAAACGGAGACCTTAGAACTCATATCTCAAGATAGGTGGCGACATTTTCTTTGTAGATGTCTATGGACTCCGATAACCACTTAACATCGGGTGGGCCGTGAGCTCGTTCACGTCCAATAAAAAAAAAAGAATATCCTGAATTTCTCTAAGAAAATTCGGGTGTGATTTGTGTTATTTATTATTTTATTTAAGCTATTTTTTATGATCTCAAGCGCATTTCTGCCGCGTAGCACTCGTGAGAGTAAGACTAGAGTTATAAAATTGTCTCAGGACAACTGACATATCCACGCTGAAATGTCTTTGGCCACGAACAGACACTTTACACTAGGTGGGCTGTGAGTTCGATTGTCTATGTGGCACAATAAAAAGTCGGTTATCTAGATAGACAAAATTACGGTTAAAATTGCTATAATTTTTTTCACTCTTTATTAACATTTCACGAACCAATTGGTAATATAAACCTTTGTAAATGTATTTAGAAATATGATATCATGTTCGTTCTGAGTAATTAAATCGGCGTGTCGTGTAAACGTATCTTTATAATTTTATTATTAAACAAAATTGAGGACATAATTTCATTAAGCATTTTAACGTGCGTGTTTTTGAAATGCGGGACCTTATAAAGATATATCTTCTGTTTATATCATACATTTATCTTGTTAGTAATAAAGGTAGAAGATTCGTTATATTTAAATATTGTGATCAATCTAAAAATAATTGTATCTGTAGAACACAGTAGTACGGCAGTAGAGAGAAAGGGGGAGAGAGAGAGAGAGAGAGAGAGAGTATTCTTTATTGTACAATAAAAAACAAATAAATAGTGCGATACATTAAATAAAAAAAAGTTAAATTGGCGATCTTATCGCTAAGAGCGATCTCTTCCAGACAACCATCAGGTGGACAAGAATCATTTGGAAACGAACTACGCGCGGTGTACCAATTCAGTGAAATACATAATTATTATACATATATACACATGTACACGTACATATACACATACGTAGATACATACACATATCCGTAAATATACATACAATTAATACACAATGTATTACAATAAAATAATAATTATTAAAAAAAAATTGCTTCTTTACACATCAATAAGAATAAGCTGTACTGTCTGGTACTGTATCTCTGCGTTCGCATGTCTTTTGTTTGTTTGAGTTGAAATTTTTTGCGTTTTTATTGGCACTTCAGGGACAGTTTTTGTTTTAGTACTATCGATGTTCGACCTTTTTCACACGTTCACAGGACTAAATACCCGAGCTCACGATAACATCTTAAAATAAAACAATCGATTCATTATAATCCTACTCATCAATGTCCAATCTAAACCATAGAGGCTTTCTTTTTACGAAATATGAGAATTATCATGGAATAGGGATTTTAGATTATTTGCGCTGTAAAGTTTTATTATCTGTATCGTAGTTCTTATTTTTTTATTTAATATGTTAGTCAGTCCCGCTAAAATTATATATACATATAATACGCTTACAATATCTATACCAATATTATTAAGCTGAAGAGTTTGTTTGTTTGTTTGAGCGCACTAATCTCAGGAACTACTGGTCCGATTTCAAAAAAATATTTCAGTTTTAGATAGCCTATTTATTGAGGAAGGCCATAGACTATATAACATCACACTAAGACCAATACGAGCGGTGCACTAATAACCTCCTCTTTTAAAGTCGGTTAAAAAGCGTGATTTCGGTACCTTAAATAGCTCCTTAATATTCTATTATTCAAAAATATTTTCACCTTCTACGTAAATGAAGTCGTGGGTAAAATTTTGCGTTATGCCAAAGTAACTATTCCGCACAGACGAAGTCGCGGACAAAAGCTAGTATTAAATAAGTTCTTTAAAAACATTCGCCCACTGAGTTTCTCGCCGGATCTTCTCAGTGGGTCGCGTTTCCGATCCGGTGGTAGATTCTGCGAAGCACTGCTCTTGCTAGGGTCAGTGTTAGCAACACTCCGGTTTGAGCCCCGTGAGCTCATCTACACACGTTAGGGTGAAGCTGAAATAGCCTCTCAAGGCATAGGTAGGAAAAAAAAACTTTCTGAAATTGAATACTGTACAACACTCGACGCCTTTCCGTGAATCAGATTTCCCAATATTCGTAAGAGTATGTATGCAATATGCTTCAGCTTTCCCTTTGACATCTTTGATGCTACGACTCACGTATTTTCGGCGTGTGTCAGTATCAGCGAGCGAGCGTATGTACTCATATAAGTTAGTTTCCGTTTTGTGTCGTGCGGTTCGGGATATTTACGTGGCTTAAAGAAAAAAGTTAAGCATTTACACTGTGGAAGTGTATCGAATAATGTGTTCGCGCATATATTTTTTTGTTAATTTCCCAACGGTATTTAGGACATTTACGACAAGTTGTAGTTAATGGTATTGTTTGTCTAACTATCTGGCAGTAGCCTCCAGGTGCTATTCTAGCTTCACCATGACTGGTGGGTGAGGCTACTTGTCCATGAAACTCTCATCATAATCGGTCCAGTGCATACGGAAATTAGCGAAAGCAGACAAAGAACGTTTCGAAAGATACAAATAACCTGATCTTAGTAGAGGCAATAAATTTTAAAATTAAAAAAGAGGACTTTATTTATAAATCATATCAATTCTATTTAGATAGATAAATTACTTTTACTGGTGGTAGGACCTCTTGTGAGTCCGCACGGGTAGGTACCACCGCCCTGCCTATTTCTGCTGTGAAGCAGTAATGCGTTTCGGTTTGAAGGGTGGGGCAGCCGTTGTAACTATACTGAGACCTTAGAACTTGTATCTCAAGGTGGGTGTCGGCATTTCCGTTGTAGCTGTCTATGGGCTCCAGTAACCACTTAACACTAGGTGGGCTGTGAGCTCGTCCACCCATCTAAGCAATAAAAAAAAAAAAAGGAACTTCATATATGTAATGCTTTAGGTATTCGAATGGTTACAAGAAGACTTCAGTCGTTATTACGAGCAGAATAGAGCCCCATACATGATGCCGCTTCACACCAATTGGTTCCAAATCAAAGAACTTGAGCTTGGTCTACACAAGTTCTTGAAATGGGCGGCAGATCTGTAAGTAAATTTTACGTTTTCTTTATCAAACATCACATTGTTTAATTTATCTGTCGTATTTTAAAGAACTAAGAGAGTTTTCCAATTCCTTTATCTCCAAATGTAATATTTAATGTTGCATTCGTGACTCGGAATCGAAAAACCACACGATAATCATTAAAATATATCCTTAATTTCAGTTTCTTTACAAACACTCGTTTCTTATTTAGTTAGGATCGGTTGGAATAGATTCCTTGGAATTTGAATGTGATTTCCTTTCTATTTGACATTACTATTGCATCGTAAGATATATTTTTTTGTAAACGTAAATAAATGCAAACTTTATTACAGGGAAGACGTATGGTTTGTAACAATGACGCAAAGTTTAACATGGATGACGGATCCACGACCAGTGAAGGCACTCAACAACTACGAAGCGTGGCGTTGTGACAACAAAGAGCTGCCTTCTGCTCCCTGCAACTTGCCTAATAAGTGTGCTCTTTCGTTCAAACAACCGGATAGCAATTTCACTGATACAAGGTACATGGAGACTTGCAGCGAGTGCCCTAACCAGTGAGTATATTATTTTGTGCTGATTTTTCGAACGATGTTCCTTATGGGACGATGTGGAGGGGTACCCTAACCGGGAAAAACGTCCGTAACGTAAGATTTTTATTAGTAATGCGCACAGTGTACGACTTAATTTTGTAATAACGTACAAAAAATTACATATTTTTTTATCATTCATTGACCACGATCTCAGAGCGTTCGTTTGCGTAATACATTAACTCTTATGCAAACAACCGTGAATGAAGTGTACCACAATAAGTTCGCATGTTACCGAATGACCGTGGATTGTTGCGAAACCTCCAGTTTTATTTTATTTATACCTCGAATAGAACTTAAAATTAATATTTTTATAATAAGGAACTTCGTTCCTATCCGGTGTCCCACGACACCACACTTCTTTTTTATACTAGCTTTGAATCACGATTGTGCTCACGGTCTACCTGCTAATAAGTGACTACAGGAGTTCGTGTACATCACAACCTGAGCCCTGAAATATTTTAAGCACGTTTCATTTTCTCAGATACGTGGACGAGCTCAGGAGGTAAGTGGTTACTGAAGCACATAGACACCACAATCCGAATTCCGCCACATTTGAGACGTGAGGTCGAGGTGTCAATTATGTGAACGCATTACTGATTCGTAGCAGAAATAGGTAGTCGTCCTATATAGTAGTTCGAAGTCGTCTTGGCCTAAAGGATAAGACGTCCGTCCGGTGCATTCGTTGTTGCGATGCACCGGTGTTCGAATCCGTACTTAACAAATGTTCACGATTGACTTCCACGGTGAAGGAATAACATCGTGTAATAAAAATCAAACCCGCAAAATTATAATTTGCGTAATCACTGGTGGTAGGACCTATTGTGAGTCCGCACGGGTAGGTACCATCGCCCTGCCTATTTCTGCCGTGAAGCAGTAATGCGTTTCGGTTTGAAGGGTGGGGCAGCCGTTGTAACTATACTGAGACCTTAGAACTTATATCTCAAGGTGGGTGGCGCATTTACGTTGTAGATGTCTATGGGCTCCAGTAACCACTTAACACCAGGTGGACTGTGAGCTCGTCCACCCATCTAAGCAATAAAAAAAAAAGGTAGGTATCTCCCTAACTGTGCGTAATTATGCAAATTTTCAAAAACACTGTGACAAAATTGGAAGTTAGTTTAAAACTGTAAGGAGTTTTACGCAGATTATATAATTCTTATCATCCAGCTTTAATCTACTTAATTCGCAATCTTAATTCTCAGGTACCCGTGGCTAGGTGATTCTGGTGGATCCGGAATACCCGGTAAGGATAATTATATACCCGAGAACCTTAAGAGGAAGTAGGAGACCTTTAGCATAATAGCCCTCTATAAATGTACCGACTATAATCTATTCGGCATATTTGAAATTTTACGTCACTTCCGGAACCCAAAGGGGTCCTCCCTCATAACACAAACGTTATGTGGACAAAGTTCTGGATGTTTCGAATAATCACCTCAAATTAATTTAAAATATATTTTGCGTATACGATCCCATTAAATATAATAGGTATTTTGAGAGGAACAGAAATATTGCTATTAAAATGATATAAATATACTTTTATATTCTGTTTATCGTTAAATAGTAGGATGTAGTAGTTATTTTTTAACTATCAAGTACTAATGATACACATTTTAGGTTTAACCTAAGTACCTAAGCCTCGTTCCATTTATCCATCTCACGGTTGTCGATGAGAAAACGATTCTAGAATTAATCGAATATGGTTTAGTTTACTTAATTTACTGGTGGTAGGACCGTTTGTGAGTCCGCGCGGGTAGGTATCACCGCCCTGCCTATTTCTGCCGTGAAGCAGTAATATGTTTCGGTTTGAAGGGTGGGGCAGCCGTTGTAACTATACTGAGATCTTAGAACTTATATCTCAAGGTGGGTGGCGCAATTACGTTGTAGATGTCCATGGGCACAGACAGAATGAACATTTGTGCGTTGGATGTTTATCCATTAAACATAAACTAGTATTTTAATTTGACGAATACGCTCGTTTTCATGTCGACTTTTTTAACAAATTAGGTATTTTAGACTTTTTTTTTTACAATAAATTGGAATGTTGAAAAGCAGACGAGCTTTGTCACATCGCATCGGCGCTTGAACGATTGCCTCAATTCCTAATGTGATAACAATAAAAGTCATCCATCAAGTGTTTTGAATATTATTCTCGTGTCTATAAATATACTGAATAGATTATAATTTTACCATTTGTATATTATATTAGTGGAGATGTTTGTGTACTCAAATATCAATGTACTGCGTGTAACATATATGTATGTATATGTATTTATGTATGTGTAATTTTATTATTTTTAAGTTAAAATTAAGGTAACGATGACTAGTCGTCGCAATGTAATACTCTGTAGCATCTTTGCTGTTAATCTATATAATAAAAAAAACTTATTTATTATGTCAAGTAACCATAGTTGTATTAAGATTTTCAAAATTGTAAAACTATGAACATTGTTTGATAACAAAAGTTTATTTCGAACGTATTTTCGTAAAAATATATATAAATTTTTAAATATGGGTAGCGTGTGTATCTACCAAAACAAATAATTACCTCTAATACTAATGTTTATCTGCGGATGTATGTATAAAGAATCTTTCTCCCTATATAGAGAAAAAAAAGTTGTGATGTCACAAAAATAGTAACACAATACAAATAGGTTTATTGACAGAAAACAAATGTTTTGCAAAAATATTGCTGGTTGATTATTTAGGACAAATTGTAAGGTGTGCTGTTAGAATAAAATAAAATGTTTTATGTAAATTTTTAGTTTCTTTAAATTTCCATCTATACTAATATTATAAAGCTGAAGAGTTTGTTTGTGTGAACGCGCCAATCTCAGGAACTACTGGTCCTATTTGAAAAAATATTTCAGTGTTAGATCGCCCATTTATTGAGGAAGGCTATAGGTTATATAACATCATGTTAAGACCACTAAAAGTGGAGCATCAATAAAGAATGTTTCAAAATAGTGGTTTAAATAGCCCCTTAACGTTCTGTAATTCAAAAATATTTTTATTTTCTATGTAAATGAAGCGGGGTTGAAATTTAGCATTATGCCAAAGTAAATATTCCACGCGGTCGGAGTCGCGGGCAAAAGCTAGTCTATGTATAAATCAATACAATAATATTTTGTTATTATTGTAAATTTTAAGCATCAAAATTATAAAACAATTGTTCCATTTGTTTAATTCACAAGGAGAATATGTGTTATCATTGTGTTATTAATATATTGGTTTTGCTAAATGGTAAAGGAGCTCATGGGCCATTTGGTGTAAAGTGGTCATCGAGGTTCATATCGAGCGTTAAAAAAATAAATGCCGAACTGGCTTCGATACCTGAGATGCAAGTATCTCCTGTATTGTATAACGGCTATCCCACTATTCAAATCGAAATGCATAACTATTTGCGCCAGAAAAACGCAATACGCCCTGTGGCCAATAATTTGGGGATTTCAATGCAACAAAGAAATACTGTAAGTAACTAGTCAGGTCATAAGTATTGTCACACAGTAAAAACTTTTCTTTTAGAATGCTGGCCACAAAAAAGTTTATTGAATTCGAATTTCGAATTGTTCATGAAAATAAAAATGTATATTTTTAGAATTTTACTCATTTTTAAATATGGAGTGGACGCTACTACTACTAACATACTGAAAAATTTGAATATAACCAAAAGATTCGTTTATCGTACCATCAAACGATACAATGAAGACTCTAGTGTAGTCAAGAAGTGGTCGCCCTCGGTCTGTTAGGACTCCAGCAGTGATAAAAGCTGTGAAGGCGCGAATTCAAAGAAATCCCAAACGTAAGCAGAAACTGTTGGCCCTTCAGATGGGGTTAAGCAGAACCACGGTGAAAAGGGTGTTAAATGAAGACTTAGGGCTTCGGGCATATCGAAGAAAAACAGGACATCGTTTGAATGCTCGTCTAATGGACCTGAGACTGAAGAGATGCCGCGCTTTGTTGAAGCGGTACGCGGGAAAAAAATATCGGGAAATTCTTTTTTCGGATGAAAAAATTTTTACCGTAGAAGAGAGCTACAACAAACAAAATGATAAGGTGTACGCACACAGTAGTGAAGAAGCGAGCAACCGTATTCCGCGTGTCCAACGAGGTCATTTTCCATCCTCGCTCATGGTATGGTTGGGAGTTTCTTATTGGGGCTTAACAGAGGTACATTTTTGTGAGAAAGGTGTAAAAACGAATGCAGTTGTGTATCAAAATACAGTCCTGACGAACCTTGTGGAACCTGTTTCTCATACCATGTTCAATAACAGGCACTGGGTATTCCAACAAGATTCGGCGCCAGCTCATAGAGCGAAGAGCACACAAGACTGGCTGGCGGCGCGTGAAATCGACTTCATCCGGCACGAAGACTGGCCCTCCTCCAGTCCAGATTTGAATCCGTTAGATTACAAGATATGGCACCACTTGGAGGATAGGGCGTGCTCAAAGCCTCATCCCAATTTGGAGTCACTCAAGACATCCTTGATTAAGGCAGCCGCCGATATTGACATGGACCTCGTTCGTGCTGCGATAGACGACTGGCCGCGCAGATTGAAGGCCTGTATTCAAAATCACGGAGGTCATTTTGAATAAACTTTAGGGTCATAAGAATCTATGTTTTGTTAAGTTCATTTTGGTATATGAATGGTTACATAATGAACTTGTTTCAATTATTTTACATTAAACATGTGACAGAATTTATGACCTGACTAGGTATATACGTGTACTGTATTTTTGAGCTGAAAATGAAAGTAATTATTTAAATATTGGTCCAAGTAACTTGTGGAGACATTCACAAACATAAAAATCACACCCGTTTAACATTTAATAGCTTGTTAGAACACTTATTTTACCGAAGCTACCGAGACTTCGATCCAATGAAGCCTTTGGAATTCGTGTTACATGTTTCAGCAACCACTACTACCTCATGGGTCATAAGCGCGTCTACTCATCTTAGCTTTTTTTTACTACCTATGCTGATAGCCTTGAGAGGTTATTTCAGCTTCGCCCTAACGTGTGTAGGTGAGCTCACGGGGCTCAAATCGGAGTGTTGCTAACACTAACCCTAGCAAGAGCAGTGCTTCGCAGAATCTACCACCAGATCGGAAACGCGACCCACAGAAGATCCGGCGAGAAACTCAGTGGGCTGTATCTATGGGTGAATTCGCTCGTCGAGCCCTTTGTCGCAAGTGACGGGTTCGACGAGGACGGTGAACGGTGCTTGTGGTGCCTAAAAGCACCGTTAATGGATCAGGAGGATCCGTAATGACGTGCAACTTAGCTAATAAATAAATAAAAATTACAACATTATGAGCGTACTATTAATGGTAGTCCCCATCTTTTTTTTTTAATTTTTTTATTGCTTAGATTTGTGGACGAGCTCACAGCCCACCTGGTGTTAAGTGGTTACTGGAGCCCATAGACATCTACAACGTAAATGCGCCACACACCTTGAGATATAGTTCTAAGGTCTCAGTATAGTCACAACGGCTGCCCCACCCTTCAAACCGAAACGCATTACTGCTTCACGGCAGAAATAAGCGTGGCGGTGGTACCTACCCGTGCGGACTCACAAGAGGTCCTACCACCAGTAATCATTTCTTATGAATGAAGCTAACAAAAATAAAACGCGACAATCATTTCATTTTACATAATAAAACACGTAAAGATACTAGTATACATGTTTTATAACGAGGACGTCTGGCAGTTCGCGACTCGGGCCGCCGGCGTAGATTTAATTTGAGATTGCGCCGGGAATGTGTTCTTGGTAACTTTCTCCATATTCACATGCATTAGCTTCTATTACTGAGACTTTTGTTATACGCCGTCGGAATTGTTATAGCCCTATTCGAAATATCCTCACGCAAGAACCAATATTCTCAATGGTAGTTCACGGGATGTCAACACAACGTTTTGGTGTGTTTTCTAAATTTGGCTGAGTGTTAATATGTGTTTCGTTGGTAATAAAATTTCTTTGCATCTACTATGACAGATGCCTATTACCATAGATTATACACTTAATATATTTGAGACCTATTACTAAGAACGTGTATGACAAGTTGCTTCAGAAAATGTCTATCACTTTTGTTTCTATGGGTTTTAGTAAGTTAATCATAGTGAAAATCATTGATAATACATATAATCTAATAAATAAGATTCATATTTAATAATCACTTAATGTTTAGGAATGAAAGTTTATCGATTAAGAAAGATAAAAATAAAAAGAACGGAAGAAGAAAAAAACATGTAAAAGGGTTTTATAAAAACCATAGATGATATTAATACATTTAATATTTAAATAAAATCTGATCGAGACATTAATATAAATGTGTACTATATAATATAATATAGATAAGTATGTTTCATTAAAGAAACCCTATGTGAAAGGTCTTTAGGTTGAATCAGAAAAAATAAGTGCGAAGGCAGTGTACTACCAAGTACTTCAGAGTCGGCCCTTGATTTTTTACATAAACATATCATTTTCAACGATTATCGTCAGTCCTAGACATAATTAAAACTACTGTGGCGATTTAATCTAGCGTTTTTCATTGTAATTGTATTATTTCTGACGGTTTAAATATTTTATAGTTTTGACTATTATATACAAT